TTTTTAAATAAATATAAAATTAATTTCCACATGATTTAATTAAAAAATAACAAAAAAAAAACTATTTACGAATGCAGATTAAAACCTTACATTAAAATAAACATAACATTTAGTGTATTCCAGTTAATGATAACATTAAAAGATTTTCAAGAAGATTTTTCCTCACAAATTTCAGTGCGTTAATTTTTTTTGACATTTTCTCTTTAATAACTTCGATTATTATAGCTATACAGTGCTTTCGGTTAAGTAAATCGTATTTCCGTAAATATACGAAGCTAATGGCGACGCTCGCGTTAATCATTGAAACTCTGTCGTTAATCAACATTCGAATTCTAAAGTCGATAATTTATAGACAAAGAACTAAATCGATATGAAACATGTTCACAGAATAAATCTCAATAAAATTGATCTCATCTTAAATAACATCATCTTGGGGCGAAGTTTGTAGACGTGTACAGTCTACATAAATATATTACTTATATTATAATACAGAAATGTAAGTGTTTCTGGTTATTTGTATCATCTTAATAATAAATCAAACCACAAAAATGTAATAATCTTTTACTTTTAATTAAATATATGTCTAAAAGTAATTACTCACGTAACAAATATTTTATTTCACATTTATATAGTTTACCAATAGACCCAAAATTAATGATAAAAATATATAATTGGAAGTGTAAATAAAAGTACGATGATCTGAACTTTCGCTGTTATAAATGTAATTTCTTATAATTCGTGTATGTAAAAACTTTTTACAATAAATCAAAATGTTTACAAACAAACTGTACACTTAACAAACAACGTGACATGAAAAATGTTCGTTAATGTTTATTCTGCTGACGGTACAGACGGAAACAGGTTTGCGCGTGGTACAACGCTATAGGCAGATACTAATGTATTGTTGGATCCGTTCCTCCGAATGCCTCAGATTGTTTTGCATCTAATTATTTATAAATTGTCGGCCGATACATCCGAGGGATTTACGAACTGACAACGTATTCATAATTTATACCATCCTTGTGAGCTTTTGGCAAATTTTATTAATTTTACATGCATAATGAACCCACCTCCGGGTGAGAATGCATTTTCTTTTAACAAATGATTATAATATCTACTCTATAATTGACCACATCTTAAGTATTAAAATTAAGCCAATACTACTGAAATTCGACAGTAAGATAAACGACTTATCTCACGTAAAAAAATCGATATACACGCTGACCAATGAAATTGGATAGACTATAAAAGACTTTTATCCACCCTATAATTCTTTTTAGTAATTAATTACGTTATAGTACAATCTATTTAGAAAGGAATTTACTGTTATTACGAGGAATTATGTTTAGTACGTCAAGGAAGAATAGGAAATTTAAACGAAGTGTAAGATCCATTCTTCGTACAATTGCTGGCGTCTTCATTTTACAATTGTTTTTATATCATTGCTTATGTATTTTTTGTTACAGTCACATTTAAATGTAACCTTTGAAGTAAATAACGGCAATTAGATCGCACCTGCATTCATGTAATGCAGAAAATTGCATAATGAGATCAATTATCTACATTGTAAGGTTCTTAATCTTTTTAATATGTGACCTACAACCTGTACAAAATTATGTAAATAACCATTAAAATATAAATACTAGTGTTACAAATGGAATTGATTTTTGTTAGTTACATATTATGCAACATTGTATAAATTATGGCCGGTTTCCCAGCGACATTTAATCGTTCGTAAGTGTTTTTGGTTCGACATTTTCATGAAATACGTTCCCGAATTACGTAATTTGAGTTTTACTCAGTTGAAACTTAGGTCAACCTAATACTAATGAATCACTAGATAATAAAATAAATGGAAACTACAGATACCCAGCATTACTTGGTTCTGATAATGAAAAAAAAAAATTCTGATAATGCAAAACAACACTATTCTGAAAATTGCTTCTAATGATTATCTTGCATTTAATGTAAACCTAACAATAAAAATGTTTATCTTTAACATCACTCTACCATAGAGTATAGGGCGGTGGTATTTTGTACAATTATAGCGTCTGATTGTTATCTACAGATATGAAGTTTGGTTCACTGCAGTATCGTGCTTAACTATGCAGTTTTGATTATTCTACATTAATTACAGGATAGCTTTAATGCTACAATAAAAATTACAATAAATTCCTGTCAACATTTTATAGCTTTTTTTAACATGAAAAACAAAATGTAAAATTTTCATTTTCACTTCAACCGTACAAATTAAGTAGCAATATCTAAATACAAATTGTTACATAAATAAACCGTATAAAGTAAATTAATAAAATATAATTCATTCCTCAGTAATAATTCATTGGTTACAAGACTTTTTATTCGTTATCGTATTTATTTTCTTTAGTATGGACATGTCAGGCGCCTCTCGTATCGAGGCGGTAGGTCCAACCGCATCTCACCGCGCGGGGTGTCTGTAGCAACTAATTTTATGCACTTATTTGTTGTAAATTAATTGTGCGAAACATTGATAACTGTTATTGATTAAACATAAAATCACAGGAAATTTGTAAAAACTAGATTGATAGATTAATTCATAACAATTTATAGTTATATTGAAAATATCGAGACGGATAAATGCAAATGTTATGACGAAATTAATTCGTAAAATAATGTAATTTGAAATTCAACTTTCAACACGTAACGTTTTAAGTAAAACGATTTTTCTTTAATTTCTTCCCTCTCAATGTAATTTGCAAGACTTTGCAAATGTTTTTCTTTTTTTAATTCCGACCGATTCCGTAGGCTGCCGACATATAATTAATATTTTTTTGTCGTTTTGTACGCCATTATGTTTTGAAATAATAAGAGATACGAAAGCTCGATTATTTCTTAGATCAACACTATAGAATGTCTTAACTCCGAAAATCCTATAAAACCAAAATAAACCAATTGGCAACACCTTAGAGTCTATACTCCAATAAATAACGACTGATTTATGAAAATTTATCATACTCTTGAGGCTTAATTTTGAAATGATCTTGGCGGTTTCCTTAAAGGTATTACGGATGTTATTTATGGCTATTGTAAATGAGACCTTGTTATTTTGGTGTTAAAGCGTAATTTGCCTATGTGGTGGTGGTTGATGAGACGTTTTTCAACATGGAGTTGGAAGTGTGCCTGCGTATTGTTTTGATAAGCTGCAGAACGGGTTTGTGCGATTTATGACTGGTATGATTTAATGCGAATAAACTACTCGGTTTGCTGCTCGCATTGATAAATGCTCCATTTTTAGCACCGTCACCTACATCCTATTAAATACTTGTTCTAGATATAGACAAAGGCGATATAAAAATTATAATTATGCAACATGTAACAAATACTTTAACTTATAACTTTACTATTGTGCTTACTGGACTGGACAATAATAATAATGATATGCAAAACAACCATCAGAAAGAAGGTGTTGCCGCTATACTTGTCAAATTTGAAAATATTTCACATTGCTATAAACCTGGACTTTTGAAGTCAATATAACAACAGTATCCATTGGGTTTTCGCCAGTACCCATATATTTTAGTACCCCGTAACTGAGGTTGATAACAAACAAATAAATTATAAAATGATAAAAGAACTCTTAAGCATAATACATTTTTTTTTAAATTATTATTGTATGAACTACAAGCAATATTTATTACAGCAAAAGTAAGAATTACCATAAAAGATAGGAAAAATAATTTATTTACGTTTTATTTAATACTACAATCTGAATTCAATTTACAATGAAATTTACCAAACTTCTTATCACTTCATCTTAGCAATCATCAAGTCGATCGATGTAAAGAATGTTTGTCATTATGAGTTGCAAGTTGGAATAATGATGGCGCCTGCAGGTGAGTTGTTATTCGTAGACCGGCAGCGGCGGGCCCGCGGCCAATGGGCACCGGTCCCGGCGCCATACCAGTGCAAAGAACATGCAATTGATTGAACTTTTTATAAATCCCCTTTGAACTGTGTTAAGGCGTTATTTAATTTACTAATAATACGAATAATGTTCGAAAAAATGAAGTATATGATTTTTTTTAACAAATTACTCTACAAAATTGTGTTTTTTAATATGTTTTAAATATGTTCAGCAAAATATATCTCAATAATAATAAAAAATGGAAGCAAATGAATGCTAATATTTCAAATATCTTATAAATGGTTTGTAACGAATATCTTGAACTTAAATCTATGCAATTAACATTTGTAAATATCATAGTATAAATGCCGCTTCCGCGGCTATAGCTCGGGAAGTATTAAAAACAATGTAGATTCGTAAATGTTTAAGTTCGTACGTTGGTAGGGATATAAATCAGGCGCAGTTAGTGGAGATTTGCATGTCACAACTGTTCAATTTATAGCAATGGCAAGGTCGGCACAAAGAACATGCAACGCATAATATTATCGTCGGTACGTTTTTTGCTAGCTACGTTGGTCATTGGTTTTTTACCGAATTATACAATTATACTTGAGACTTCTCTATCCTCTTGGTAAATTAACGTTCAGTAATTATACGTTTAAGTAAAAAATACACTTAGCATACATTTTTTGTAACCTGTATATTTAAATTACAATTCTGCCAATTATTGATTTTGAATTTTATCATAGAGTAAATAGCGAAACTTTTATATTGCACCTAACATCTGATTTTTTTACTCTATGAACTCTATCTGGATAAATTCGATACGGTTTATTAAACTAATTCACTCCAATATCTTATTTCTCTATAAAAATGAAAAATACTATTAATCCACAAAAGGTACAAGCACTTGAGGATAATAATATAATAATTCAAGCGAATAACCCTTTATCATCGGCGTGAGCGTTTAGCAAATTGTGGCGCGCCCTCCTAGATCACAGAGTTCAGAATATTGTCGTGATGCACGCCATGAGAGAGTAAAATATTATAATATGTCTCAGAAAGTAATACATATTTTATACAATCTAGGTAAATCAAAAACAAATTTTATTTACAGGAAAACGGTTTAATGACTACTGGGGATGATTAGTCCAAATCATTTTATAATAACCTCTGCTTCCTCCATGTCAAACTGATAGTCTCATTTAATATTGACACACTTAAAACTGGCTGCAGTAAAGGTATGTGTAAAATAGGGTAAACGTACGGATTTTTAGAAATTTGTAAATTAATTGAAATATGTTATATTTCAGATGTTGAAGACGATGACACATACGGATTTTCCCGCTTTGACATTCGAAGAAAAATTCCCCGCAAAGACGAGACAATTGTCCTTAAATAAAAGGTAATGCGATTGTATCTGTGGGTTTCGACTGTCGACCCTTGTATTTACACATATCGTTATCTCTGTTATGTTAAAGTCGAATGAAAAGGATGACAAATACAAGTATTAGTTAGAGTTCTGGGCTAACGCGTGTGTCAATACTGGCCTAACTCACGCGAGCGTGTTATGAAGACATTAATTCAGACCCGAGTGTTTTGTATGGACATATGATCGGTAATAGCGTATTAGTGATATAGTCTTTTGTTTTCAGGTAGTTTTATGATTAGTGTTCTACTGTTTTACAGACATGCGATTAGTATTATAGTAATAAATAGTCTCGAACAACGTGTTCTAGTCACAAATACCAATTGAATTTATACAAAACAGTAACTTTGATATCTAATAACTTTGTATCTTAATGTTTTAATTGGTATTCTAAATAGATCTGTTATTAGATATTTGTATTAAATACACCTTTAATAAAAAAAACTTCAATAGGAACAATGTTAAGATATTGAATAAATTCGTGTATTTATTGGTAAGAATATATTAATAGGCCTGTGTTGTTTACAATTGTTAGTTATTTTTACCTTTTACTAATACTTTTTGCTTCTGAAGAAACAATAACAACAATACATGAGTTTTAAAGTCGTATTTCAATCAATAAATTAAGCCACTAGCTATATTTTATCTTTAAATAAAACATTCGATACATAAAGCAGGTAAATAGTATCTCCTGAAGTATATGAAAGAAAAGTATTGCGAGAATTGACAGCAATAGGAAGGCATGATAAAAATGTTGCTTGGGTGCGTACTGCCTATGCGGTGGCCGAGGTATGCATGCTTCAAATATTCCGCATCGTAAGTAGACTTGTACAACTTCTACATGTTTGTATATTGGATAAATGAAACGCAAAACTTGGAAATTATTTATTGATGTTTTACAAACTAAAATTTTAAAATATATAGTCGGCATTAATTGAAATGACACAATTTATTTACACATAACTGGCTGACAATAATCTTATTAGTCTATGTATTTTGAAAAGTTTCAATTGATTATTTGGGTTTGTGATAATTTCTCATTTCAATTGAATACTACAGAAAATACACTTTTAATAGTAGCCAAAAATATAACATGTGGATAACAATAAAAACATGTACGTAATTGTAAGTTTACTAAAAATAATAACCTTAAACTTTTAAGAATAACATAACATTTAACTCAAAATAATATTGTGTAAATTCTCCAATGTCACGACCTCTTGTGGGAAGCAGAACACGTGTTCCGGTCTTCCTTGAAATATGAATCTTATTTCGTATTTTTCATTTCGTGTCTAGACATGCCTTCTACAATATAAGTTCTGTTTTTTTTTTAAGAACAAAAGATTTTCTATACAGCCAGTGTGAATTGTATCCAATCCACACTTGCATGCATTGGATTAAAAAAAAACAGAACGTCAAGAAAACATTACAACCGCATTCATTAGGATTAAAGCAAAGTAACAATTCATACAGGTACAAACAACCGTAAGAAAGCTATAAGCACTGGGCCAGTCGGTAAAGCCGTAACTCATTGCGGGCGCGAAACAACGCACCCTACAAAACCAGTACCGATCGCAAACGCAACCAGTTGGCTAATACAAAACTAACGTAAAAACATTCGTACTAACATACGCAGGTGCAAGAATTGTAATTAATATACACCTTACAAGTTTTTATCTTTACGATATAACAATAAAAACATTAACTAGAAAAAGACGCTTACAAAAGTGAAATCGCCGACCAGACTTTATTTCTTTACGAGTATGCGGCGGCTTAGAGGCCATTCCACTGATTTGTACTTTTGATTCGCTATCCTAACATACTTAACAGCAGTTTTATATTTTATCAGCTGTGAGCCTACCTTTGACTTCACATATCATTTTAACTCAATATTACAATCAGAAATTGTACTCGCGTAACTATTACAGTAGAGAAATTCCAACATTATAATTAATTCTGAATTTTTTGTTTGCATATTCGTATGGTAAATAAATATTTCATTTAAAATTTTATTATAATTAACAAATGAGCATACGTAACCGCTCGTTATTAAATTTGAATTGTTCACGTCCGCAACATCTTCGTGTGGGATATCTCGAATAACAACAATTAAAAAAATATTTATAACTTAATTCACATAATTATAAACGTTTTAATATTTAGAGATATAATCGTCTTAGCTCAGTGCTCATGCTTTCGTTTTAATTATCATTATCTTGCGGCCAACATTCCATCTTCATTTCCTCAAAGGGTTAGGTTATATTTTTTTTTTCTCTGACTACTGTCTCTCCTTTATAAAATGTCAAATCAATGTACTTTATTTCGTTCTTAGAATAATGTAAAATTACAAAAGATATTATTACTAAGATTACGTTTAGATTTTTTTGTCCAGATTCATTGAAAAATAGCTTCAGCTTAAAATACAGCGTTATAAGCGATGCTATCGTGAATAAGTATCGTGTAATAGCTCGTTACGTCCCGTAGCCGGCGTACACTCACGTGCCCATTTTTTATTGGGTCCTTGAACTTGCGTACAAATTGGGCGGTCGATTATTCTAGGCGAAGCGCAATGACACTGCCCTGAATAACTCGTTACATTTACGAATGACATCACTTTGTAACATTACTATACCCATAGAATACTACAAAATTAAAAAAAAAATAACTTTATGACCATTTACTTCTTAGTAATATGGCTCTCGTAATTGTACTTTAATTTGTTTACAATTTGTTCTTAATCAAATAATAAATGTTTGCTTATCCCTATTAGTGCAACATTTCCTGTCAACATAACAATTATAAGAAATTCAATTAAAATGTTGACATATGTACACATTCCTTCTATGTTTCAGTTTATCTTTTATGTCATTACGAGTTTTAATGTAATTTCGAATAGTTATGTTCTTCCACCATTTATTTTCGACGTGTTTCGTATAATTTTTCAAAGGAAAATTATAAAATGCAGATGTTTCCTCCATATAGAGTTTAATATTAGTCAATTAAAGTTTCAGCTTGCGTGTTTATTCTGGAAAAAAGTATGCAACAGTGTTGCACGTAAGAGTATAGCCATAGAGAACAATTGTCAATGACCGACGATCTTGGATAAAGGGCACACGAGGTCGGAGCAAACACTAAGGTATGTACACGAAGTTAATAGCTGTACTGTTGCTACGAGAAATGATTTATCGCATTGCAACATTGAATTCTTGTAGCGGAACAATTACCGGATTTTCGAGACGGCCGGTATTGAGATTCGTGTTATGTCGAAGCCAGTTGAGATTTCGCCCCCGGGGTTCGGTACAAGGTAACGAAGTTGCTTTACTTTCGTATCGATTACCAAAAAAAGAAATAAGAACGTATTTATTGAATAAAAGTTTAAAACTGAATATGCCAGAAATCAATCTTACGAGGTGGCCTTTAATGGTGGCACGATGAAAAACGACGAATTTAAAGATCACGAATTACCGCAGACTTTCTTTTTAGTTTTTAAATGCCGATTTCACAAAGATTAACGATAAGTGTTCAAAAATGATCAAAAATTTTTTACTTCGTCACGAGTCAAATACTGCAGATGTATTAGTCGTCCTTTACGGAAAAACTACTCTTTACCAAAAGGTATTTAACGACGTTTAGCGTACAATTTTTTCTCGACCATTTAAACGTCCGTTGACATGTTAAGACCAATCATTTAATTCATCGTTGCAGCAATGTTTGTTTACTTAAAAACAGCAGAGACAAAAATTCTGGAAAAAATGTCTAAGGGGTCGCATGAACACCATTGCTCAGTCATAAAGATTGTTCAAAGTTGTTTTTTGCGAAGCGACACAATTACACTTTTTACCAGACCCTATGTAAATAACAATTTTATACCTGGACACGTATTTCATGCAACATTTTAACGGCTGTTACTATGCCTGGAATTCGTACATACGAATTAATTACTCATTGACCTTTTGGTCACACCATTTCTTAAAACAGAAAATACTTGAGTCTTATCTTGATCGATGTGAAGGACATAAGTTTTTTTTCTACGCATAGGGAAACATTAGAAGTTACTAAGTATAAGGTTATGTACTTTTTCCTGTAGTTGACATTCTCAAAAATACGCAATAAAGATAAGTTTAGATATCCATTTATCTATATGTAAAATCGTCTGTATGTATAGAAAAAAGTAATATTTTGATACTTATAACGAAAACCCCATTTTATTTTCATTTTTGTCCGTCTGAAATTCACCTTTGTTTCTTGTAACCTCCGAAATGTCTGGACTGTTTTTGATGGTTTGATGTTTGTAGAAGTCACTGAGGCTAATTTATTTAATTCCACGCTCACGAAGTTACGAGCAACAAAAGAACTTATTAGTTAAGATATTTTCTTAAAGTACCGCGAATCGTGATAAATATCGTTAAAATACTTTTAATGACAATAACATTTCAGTTCTTTTGATTTAATTAAAGACGCAGTATAATAAAAACGGATTCTAATATCTGTTGTGACGTAATCAAACAGCTGATCCTATAAAATATACTGTAAACTCAACCCTCTATAAAGCTTGGAGCTTTAAAGCTCGACGCACACTACCGAACGAAAATATTTTTTACGCAACTTATTCTCATTATTTAACACACAAATATGATTATGATATTAATGAAAGTTAAAATGAGATTAAACAGGCTTTTTATTAAATTTTCTTAATGTTATATAATAATATATCCTGCTTTTTATTTTAAAAATGATAAAAGTTTACATTTTAACGGATCATTATTTGATACATTTTATTATTATTGTAAACGTGTTCCAGTTATATTAAGCAATTACTGGTCACTTTCAATATTGTTATCGAGGTGATTATATCGTCGGAGTGGGCAAGTGTCCGACGCGGCTAAGTCGTAAACACTGCGCCTTACTGCGCTCGCTTCGAATCGCGACGTTTAAACAGCCTACCAGGTGCGAACTTTATCTTAATTCAAGCCATCGAACCGATTGGGGATAGGCTTTAACACCTTAATAGGCACAATTAACTACCACAATGCTAGCTAAAGGCACATCATTTACTAAGCAAGACATCGAAATGGAAATTTGGAAAAAACTTATCATTTGTTTTCAAGCAGCGGATAAATAAAAAACCATCTTAGGCTTTGGAAGAATTTTAAACCGACCTCAATAATTACATAGTGCTATTGCCTATTATTTGACATTTAAGGATGGTCAAAGTTATACTTTAAAAAAACAGTTAAAAATATAAACCTAATTAATGTTGGCACTACTAAATATTTAGTGAAAAACTCTAAATCCTTTGTTTGTGCTTGATACACCTGTTAATTGAAACAATAATTATATATTCACAAATGTTAGATTTTTATAAATATATAATTCAACTAAAAAAAAATATAGTCTATGTTACTCACTGAAAATGTATCTTTTTAATAGTTAAAGAATTTTTGATATCGATCCTCTCTATAATATAAGTATAGATAAGAATTTAAGTACAAAAAGAAACCTAATCCTAATTAAAGATATCTAAAGGCATAGTAAAGCTTAACAAAGGTGAAGCAGGATTGTAATTTATTAATATCAGTAGTAAATTGGAGTTTTGTTTAGATATCGCCAGTAAACTGTTGAAGCGGATTGCTAATTTATTTAAATTACCATTAATTAATTCAAATTTGATACGCGGTTTGCGTGGATGTGAAACTACTTTTTGATTGATACGGCTATAAAGTCGACAGTTTTATTGTTTTATTGAGAACAGAATTACCCTTAAGTTTAGCTTCCCATCAATAATTTATGAAGTTGTTAGGAAAGCTATTTAACTTTTATAGATGATTAAGAGAAATTAAAAATTGATAGAAGTGTTTTAATTACGATTACGAATTTGATTTTTAAATGTTGAATTTATATTAATCGGGATTAGTTATATTTTTGCTACTGACAATATGAGCAATGATAAATGACCTATTCATGATAATCTCTTGAAAATGACCGCTCTATTAATCGAGAACTGAACGGCTGAGGTTAGTTAGAGAGGTCAGGGGGCCAGGCCAGGGAGACAGGTCGACATGCCACCCCATCCGCCCTAGATTTCCAATCGCGAAAATGCCGTAGTCTTCACAGATCTGTATGCAAGTACTTGTATGTATAATAAATAAATTCAATTTTTAATTGCGGTTGATCTATTAAGCTTGATCTACTTTTAGTTTTTATTTTTTTTATATGATTTATAGATTTCAACTTTAAAGTATGGCGTAAGAATTAGAGGAGAGTAGGGTAAGAACAAGAATTTTAATTAAGCTATAATCACAGCAGTGGAGAGTTTTTCCATGTGTGCGACTTTTACTAGCGGGCTAATGATTTATTGCCATGATCCATATAGAACCTGTTTCGTAGTAAGTAGGCTGCAGAGAGTCGCGATGGTGTTTAGTTTCAAATAAAAATACAGTTTCGATACGCTGACGATACCTTTAACTTAAATTAAAAAGGCTCAATTTGAATATGAAATTACGTTTAAAAATCAATTTTTGATTTTAATGAGGCAATTTTAACATAATTACATGTCTACTGCGTCATGAGTTATTATTAAACCGTCTGTGAAAGATAACGTTAAATTATTTCTAAACAAATGGCACGACCGATTCCTTTAACTCAAATGAGTTTTTATTTTAACACATAGGTATAACTAGTAGAAAACCCTGAAAGTTAAAGATATATATTTTTGTCCATTAAAACCTTAATTAATAATGGACTTACATTAATTATAATTACCGGCGTTTATTTCCGTTTCGTGTCCATAGCTGTGGCAGTTTATATTATCGCTTCCTACACGGCCAGCGCTAGACTTTGTACGATCTCGTTTGTTTGGAGACATATTTTCGCGGCGCGGCTTCTCCGTGCGCTCGCATTCATAACGGCTACGGTCTTTGACCTCTGCAGCAACTAAAATATCGCACAGATTCTATTAAAAATACTTAAATCATCAAAAAGAGAATCAAGATTCTAATCACGTTAAGATTGTTGTTTAAGACGTCACTACTTCGCTACAATTCCAGCGATAGAACCGTATATTTTCATAGGTAATTTGAAGCACATTATAAAGCGCGCTTAGCACACGGAGCGCGATTGTATTGTCCGTTGTAAACATGACGGCGAGCCGCATGTTTTATGTATCGCTTGTGCACTGCAGAAGGAAACTCTCATCAGAATTCCGCGTAGACGATGATGAGTCCAACATTCGTGCCCCGGCTGCCGAGTACCGAGTGCATCTCCCGTCGCGCGTGTGAAAAAGTAAAAGCAAATCGTGTAATTTCAATATGTACCCAGACGTAGCACGTAATAAGCGATACGCCGATTGTTTTTTTTAAGCGGAGACGGTTACACAGTTCCGATGCCTTGAACATTGTCTGCGATAAGTCTGACTTGATTGTACGTTTTTTAATCTACATTTAGTTGGGTAGTAAATTAAAGGCAATACGTAAATAAACAAAATTTTGTTGATTAAAATAACTTCTAATCTTTTAACGTTTTTGGAATGTTATGATAAATCTTGTCTTAATATTGGCACGTGGTGAGTTAATTCTTATCCTAATCACTCACACAAATAGAGTAAGTACACTGCACGTATGTATGTCACCCGCACTAGTCTCATACATCAAATGTTTGGCATGGCTGAGTCCAAGTTTGAAGACGTTCCAAGCTTCAAATGGTATCAGAGCACGTGTTCGTCGCGGTCGCTGAGCGAATCCGTTGATTGCGAAGCACAAATTGGCGAGACGTGTGTCGCATCGAATCGGCTGTTCGTTCGCTTTGATGCATCGCCGGCGCGGAGCCGAGCGCGGTGGGTCACGCCGCCTTAACGATTCCAACACGCTATATGCATAACGATCGACCACTCCGCAGCACCTTGTGCAGGCGAGCAGTTACAACTCCGGCCGCGAGGAGCGGTCCGTTGCTTCGGACCCGCTGAACTACACTAAGGGCGTCCGGAAATTACAATCTAAAACACGCACCGCCATAGATGTGGATATCTTAATTTCGTTCCTTTAATAAATTATAATTTACGACTGCGTTGTAAAACCAAACGATGTAACAAAAAACGGCCTCTATAATAGATACGTTGATTTTTTCGGCCCGCATGTAACATTTATGGAGTCCGGGTCGTTTTGTCGGTTTGACCGCTCACCGTTTTGGCGGTAGAGCGGAGCGCGGACATTCATCTCGCTCTAGTTTTATTGCACCATTGTAACTGTTGTAGCAGGTGCATTAGAGTATTCATTAACGGCCACTAATTATGACTTCTAAAGGGTTCCAAGTTTCGCCAAGAAACTTTTTCTATTATAATGTGTGAAAACAATTACCTTCTTTTAATTAATTTATAACGGATGCGGTAGGCTTTAACGTGTTGAATAATTTATGAAGACTTATTCATAATTACTATCGAGCGATAAAGCAGCTTACTAAAAGAGCCCGTACTTTGAGGATGTGCGAGGATGAACGTACATTTTCAAATAACCACGGTAATTATAATGGTAGATGTTTGCAGGAATGGGACGGCTATATATCACAGTGTGTCTCTTTAACTGGAAGGGTTTATTAGTTAAGTATGTGGTGGGGCCCCCATATATCAACAGAGTCGGCGCCGGCGCAAGCTTTCTGTTCGATTCCCGCCGTGAATATTCAATTTTATACACGATAATAACGATTTAAAAATTGCGCTTTCGACGCGATAACCCATTCGTTGACGACGATTCCTTTCGTTATAAATAATTAAGGATCATCAAAAAAATTTGCCATACTCCGATGGTATTAGAATATTATTCAGACTTTCACCGATGCTTGATCATAAAAAGCACAGTTTAATCGTCAATAAAAATTTATAGATCGATAATTATTGAGATTCCTACCGAAATGGTGTGATAAAGTTTATTGGTCGTTAGAAAGATAGCCGATACAAATCTATGAGTGGCGTGACAGATCGAGCGGATTCGTTACGGACTTTAACTACTCGAGTTCACGTCTAACATTGGCATAGTGCAATTAAAAAGTAGCAACAACGATCCAACCAAATACAGTACGTAATATCAACGGATTTATGAAGACAGGCAAAATTTGATGTATGTATCATTTTTCATTATATAACTAATAGCTTTTGCCCGCTACTACGTCTGCGTGAAATTTAAAAAACAATAAAAAATAGCCTATGTTACTCGCTGATAACGGAGCTTTGTAATGGTGAAAGAATTTTTAAAATCGGCCCAATAGTTGTTGAGCCTATTCATTACAATCAAGCAAAGTTTTCCTCTTTATCATATTAATATAGATAAAACATAACAATAGTTTGAGAGCTACTTTGATTTACTTTTGGAGTAAAAGTTCAAACTAATTAACATGATTTACTAAAGTCGAAGGCAAATCAATAATGTCACCTTTTAACTCCTAAAGTGGTTCAAGATAAGGCGATAGTTTTTTGCTGTCAAAGATATTGAATCTATAGTCAACCGTTTACTGTAAGGAACAAAGTGACGTGAGGCTACCGTAAGGTAACCGTTTTAATGTATTGCGGTGAAACGTTTTATAAAAGAAATTAAAAATATATCTTCAAATTTAACGACCGTGTTCACAATTAGTCTATTAAACTTTTTACATCTATTATAACAGTTATTGCTAAGTTTTACTAAATTTATGCAGATTGCACCGACATTTAATACGAATAGACTATTACGAGAAACTTAAATCGCACGTAAAACCGATGCCTTTTTAAAAAATGATGTCAGTGCGAATTCTCTTTTTTATTCAATTTCACACTATTGTACAAGTTAGAAAGATAAGCCGTTAGAAGAAACACACGGGAAATTTGCGATATGATTCTTGCTAAGTAATTATCGGTTAATGTGAAGTGACAATAATTACAATAATTACGATTTCTATTACGTAATTGATAAAGTGTAACAAACGCTACAATTAAAACTATTATTTTTTTATAACAGCTATGAAACGAGGAAGGCAAGATATACAATACCTTCGACCGACAAGCATTTAAGATTATGTTAGCGTTATGAATACCTACTGGAGAATGTTTATTAAGAATAAATTAATTTACAAAATTATTATCATTAAAATGATTTATTTTGTATCACCGTTCTTAACTTGATTGTGTAAAAGAAACTGCAAAGCTTTTTAGAGCTAGGTCTTACACGATTAACCGAATAGCTTAAAAACAAGACACATTGTGCTTTTAAATGTTAGTTTCGGCACGCAGCCCTTTATATCAACGAAATAAGTTAAAACATCGTACAAACGCTGTGCTTTACGATTCTAGCTGTTACGTCCACCGCAAAAGGTGCATTTAGCTCTTTCGTTGGGACGAATAACTTGTTTTCGATGTTTAGGAAAAGTGTACTTGTGAACTTGGTAATAAAAATTATATTCCCTTGTCTATATTGTAATTTTTGCATGGAAGAAAACTCTGATATTAATATGGAGTGTAACAGTGCACCGTTTACGTAAAATTAAATATCGTTTAATAGTTTACTAAGAACGCGGTATGGCGAGGAAAATTAGTTGTTGCCTTTCGTGATAAAATGTCCCTACTCCATCTAATTTTGCCTTGTTTAATTTTCCTCCAGTAGCGACACGTTATAAATATTTTATGTTAAAACTTCACTGAACATCAGTTTGCTCTAAAATTACAGTGAAATTAAATCTTATTAAACTCATCAGCACGCCGTAGCCTCATCGGATGCATTGTCTATAATTATAAAAGTCCGCAATGATAGGGACCTTTGCTTCGACGGTGCAATCAGTGATAATTTAAGTAGATAACATAATTTAAAACGACATAATGTATTTTACTGTATCCAAACAGTCGGCCAGTCGAGCGCGGGGGAATCGTGCAAAATTATTAATTGGCGCGCAGTCTTCAACCGCCGCGCTTTAGGATTGCGATCCATGCGAAGCGAAGCGGTAATTTGCTTGTATCTTACACCTGACAAAATTTGAACCAAATTGTAACCTTGATATATTATATCCACGTTAGATTTTGGTTTAACTTTCTTGTATTACAATTATAAAGACAAGACAAGACATATTGTTAACTAATGTACGAATTTAATACTATCGAAACTTCAAATAAATTGTATCTGTTCCGTTTCTGTTGCTTGAAGTTCTAGATACATATAACAGTCTTTTAATTCAAGCATTTTTAAATGTAACCTAAAATGCTTTAAATACTACGACAGACATAAACATTCAAATGAATCCATAATAATGACGTTTGATTAATTAAAATAATGAATGAGTTTTAGATTTCAAATCAATATGTATTTACAGAATGATTAGAATCGTTAATATCTCTGCCTTCGCCTATCTTAGATATGTGGAATGAAACCCTTATCATACTGTTTTATTTATGAAGTTAAGTTAAATGAATCATGTGAAGATGCGTTTAATTTTTTGCAATGTTAGAGTTTTTCTATAATAGAAAAGACACTCAATTTTGAGGTTAAGATCAAATACAGTTTAAATAAATAAAAAAATAATATCTGCTAATGACAGTTTTGACATTACTCTGTTTTGTTATTTTGAGAATCGAACAAGCGGGCACCTAAGGTTTAGATTTTTTCAATGCATTTCAAAGTACTAAATGCATAGCATTTCATAACAGGTATGTACTCGTATAAATTGATTGTATTTAACACGTAAAGTTAAAAATAGAAAGATGACATTTACACAGGTCCAAAAATACCATTTACACTTTATATCATTTTTATATTTTCAATCATTGAACATTTTAAACATTACCAACACAATAATAGAGATCGAACAACTTTTCACTTCACATGTGCACACCTATGATCGATTCTTGTCCAAGATGGCCGCCACAACCTGGCGGGAACATGCGCTCGCACACCTCCGGAGCGCAGAACCCGTCAATCTTCACCATTTTGAACTTGTACATTATTCAACACTGATCTTGACACAACGTACGTGTTAACCCGCTCACGTTTTTGACCATACTAAAACATTTTAACAAGTCAAACGGCGCATTCAAAACTTCGAACCCATAAAACATATCTCCCCCATTATTAGTTTATGGGCTGCGACTGTTACCGGGGCTATTATGCTGCTATTTTTGTGTGAATTCGTTGTTTATTTTGATTGTGTGCGGCGGTCGGTGCGAGCAATTGGGGTACCATTAAAGAATACTTCTATTGAGCAGTTCTTTACATTGTTTTATGGGCTTATTATTGTTCAAGGTCTTTACAGTTAGGACCGTTGTAAAGGTGTTCTTTTATGGTCTTTGCGTAACTATATTTTTTACCTAGTTTGGTCAAAGTAACGGGAACCAGCGTTAAGAATCCTTGATTTCCAGAACTTGTTGATTTTTTTGTGATAGTAAAGAATACTCGAATAAAAGAAAATTTCAAATATAAGCAGGTAGGTAATATTACAGGTTTTGAAAACAAATACGAAATTAAAATACAAACCTACTACAAATATGTTTCATGTTTAAAAACATGAGTTGCAATGTTTTGACATTGCCCCACATAATAAATACTTCACATGTCTCGAACAATCTGCATTTATAAGGGCAGTGACACACCGAGCATTGCCGAGTAAAAGTAATTTTCCTTTCAGTATTTATTATAATGGTACTTTTTCTCTAGTTAAGCTCGTCACTTTATTGGAAAAGAAAAAAAAATATTTGAATAATTTAAAATCCCTTAGGTTACAAATTGTCTTTTATTTCTCTCGTTGTATTAAAATCTCCACATAATTTAAGAGTAAAAAAATTCAAACTCATGTACTACTATTCAAAAAATAATCTACACTTGTTGTTTACAGGCATATCACAATTGTAGCATCGATGCTGATCAACAACACGAAGCAAATAAAAGAAAACGCAGAAACGAGTATAGTAGCCTGCGAGTGAGCAACTAGGTAGTGATTACAATATCTCATTTCTCTTTAATAAAGGACCATTTAAAATGTACTGCCGCAAGCGAAATTCGGTCGCCAATTTCGGAACCTGTTTAGAAATTATAGGGTCAGGTCTCGGCTTAAGGTTAGGTTAGGTTTACGCTCGGGGTGTGCTCGCGTGTAATCAATAACGTAGTCCTACCCTTACATTTGACATGATACATATTCGTATATTTGGGTTCCGCAAGTATTAAAAAAGACCCTTCGTTATTAATTTTATAATCTTAAAACACATCATTATAATTATAAATAGTATTTAAGGGTAACTTTCAAGTCGCTTTTAAGTTATTATTGTCGAAGTGTTTAATAAAATTTAAAATCTCCATACTTGGTCGAATATGCTTTAATCACACTATTTATTAAAACCTATTCTATGATCACAACTTAATCAATAAATCAAAGTTGGAGGTTCTCTTAATAGCAATGTCGCAACGAAGACATCCGCAGTAGAATCAAGGTAACCGAGAAATAACTCGAAGAATAATCAAGTGTAGTTACCACTCTACAATGTTCGAGGAATTGAATTCCAAAGCGGAGAGAAAGGTCCCGACAACCTCCCTACTGAAGCTTGTATTCAATACGTCATAGGGAAGTTGGTTAAGATTGGTTGATTCATTTTGACATGAATGTCAAAAGTGTACTGGCAAAATTTAATGGATAGCATTAAGCAAAAGTGACTTAATAATTATAATCTACTGGAGTTGAATATTAAAGGTAAGTAAATGTGAGTACAATTTCTTCCAGTAAATTTTATGAGTAATTAAATTAGCTATAGTATATTATTATTTGATTAATGTATTCTAAAATGTTAAAATTCTACGGAACCCAAAGACCAAAATGATTCAGGGTAAAGATAGAGCGAAGACATTTTTAACAATTCGAATGAATACTAATGAGTTGTATCGACGAATACGACATTTTAACAAGATGAATAAACTGATCCATTCAAATATATCTTTTAGTACTTGCTATTTTTACTTTTTAATGCATTAATTTAATTTTCAGTTAGCAAATTGATAGCTCAATGATGTTTAATACAATTCATTAATTCCAGTTTCTTTAAATATCTAATTCAGTTCGATTTAACAACACGTCATATTTAGGAGTTTTTAGTAAAACTTATGCTTAAACAAAATCTATCCGTATTTTAATCTTCACCAATTAAGTGGCTATTTCCACTTATCGGCTAGCCGTGTGACACTGGGCGCGTGCGACTCTATCTTTATTTCACAATTGCAGTCGCCCCAGTGGAAAAATATACATGATTCCATCTATCTAAAAGGAACTAAAACAATCAGATAGATATTTTAATAATGTGTTATATTTTTAAACAAATAAATAGTCAATAAACCTTAAACTATAAATTTAAAGAAAACACTTTTGTTTTATTATAGAGAATTTTAAACGACAGATATTTTTTCATACAACATTGTATATAATATTTTGATGGCAATAAAAAATGTTAACCGCTATCTATGTAAATTGTACAAAAATACGAACCATTAAAATGTTAAGAATTATCTATTTCCGATACAAGTTTAAAACATTTTAACAGCAGTTGTACCTAATAATTTACAAACACATAGGAAATAAAAACACCTTTTAAAAAGCTTTCAAATTAAAGAAAAATCGACAAGAAAATTTTTGATAAAGTGCCAAATTAAAGAAACTAAAAAACTAAACATTTTTCCTTCAATATTCATAATTTTTTTCCGGAAATTAAATTACATCTACACAAAATAAAATAAAAAAGCTTATTTATCCGAAAATTTACTGACATATCCGTTATTTTTCAAAAATAATCAAATTTGTCAAACTGTGGACACCACTATTATAACTTGAAAAGATAAAATTGGACATAACGGAATGTTTAATTATGTCACATTTAAACAGCTTTTATTCATTAATTAATTAATATTTAATACATATTGATTATTAAATTCTGTATCTGTATGAAATAATCATCAAATGACAAAATCAACATCAATACAAAAAAAAAACAAAGACAGTAAAAGGCATCGCGTCATTCAGTACCGCGGCGAAGGCAAGCGAATGTTCCTAACGTCTGCCCACGTCCTTGTATTGTTTTCGCGGGACGTCGCGTGAACTCCGAATGAAATATGGCTGACGTAGCGACTACTTATATTATACTTTTATTTCATTTTATTTCGTCCGCATTACTTAATTTTATCGAGTCGCATGAATTATGTGAAGCGGACCACACGCGCCGTGTTAATTACCGTAGTGATGTCCGCTTCGAGGCTGGGAACTTTTTTTAAGGAATTCTAATAGGGACTCTTATTTGATCGATTTCATATTGGTTTTAAATGTTATTGTTACGATTGTAATTAGAATTTCGGAAATACAAGGTTAGTATCAATCCGATATGATAAAAAAATTATTTTAAAAACCTTATAAAATAGGATGGGCAGAAGAAATCATACCGAAGTTACTTTAATCGCTATAGTTTTTACTGCTTATTTGAATTGTAGGAAACGATACTATTGCTGTCATTAAAGTTATATAATCTTACTAAAATTATATATTAAAAACGCGACTTTCCAACAGGTGTGCTTATTTCAAATCAAATCAACCCGTAAGCTATCCCTAATGATTAAAGTAAAAATTAAATAAGTATTGTACCTGTATTACCACATAAGCCGTTAAAATGTCCTTAAACAGTTTATCCACAATATTATCATTTTAAATAAAGAAATTTAAAGGGTTTTATTGCGACATTAAACTGCAAATATATGATCAGTCCTTGGAACACTTGAAACACTTTTACCTTAACAGCAGACATGTTTTTTTGTGTCGGTTGGTCAGCATGGCCTCTTAAGTATAATAATAATACGCCCAAACTAGACCGGGCCGTTGACCTGATCGGGCGAAATGCGCGCGCGCTCCCTCAGAGGAGCGCTAAGATATCGCTTCTCATCTCTGGATATTTTTTTCTCCTTAACATTTTCACTTGCCTAAAGTTTGTAACTATTCTTTTGACTAAATATAACTGAAAGTGCTTTTACTTAAACTGTTATAATATTTGATAACTACATTGATAATTAGAGTATTTAATTCTTTATTACCGACCCTTCTAAAAGTTTGAATAGACGTAGCAACATCATCAATAAATAAATAATAGAAGTAAATGACAGACATGTTTGAATAGTTTTAATTTGCAACAAAAACTTGAATAAAAAAGGGCAACGGTAATTAAATATATGTAATGTCATTAACACAAATTTATATGGACAAAGATATCAATTGCTATTTACGTCAGGACAAAATTAACAAAAGGAAGTTTAATTACGGAAGCAATAAGATGTTTGATTTTGTAAAGAAATAGACTAAGCTAATCCTTTTTATTATTACTTCAAGATTTAACATTGATGTTTTTAATAGAATAAATGTTTATACTTATTTTCTGCCAATAATTACTAATAAATGTGATTGAACTTTTATCAAAGTGTTTACTGCAAACATGCCCGTTAAGAACGTATGCAGATACAATATGGCGTTCTTATAAATTGATTGTTCGGGATTTATAAGTTAACTTTTTAATGACATTTACATTTCTCAGTTAATATAACGCGTGGTACTTATAATTGGTAGGTAAAAACAATCATAAAATCTTTTATGTATATTACCCCATTAAATGAAATACTACAAGTAATAAAAAAATCGGTAAACGGATATCAACTCATCAAACGGATTCAAAGATAACTACTCCGGTAGACAATCTGATCCATAAATAATTTACATCGTAATTTAAACATTCAAAAATGAATTAATTTAAATATACATTTTCCCTTTAACATTAAACTATACGAGAGACGAATATTTAAGTAGTAATCATCAATCTGTAGTAAATAGTTTTTATTGTTACATTTAAAAGACATATTTATTTTGATGGCCGCAATAAATTATGAATGGCACTCAAATCTGTCGCACTAATAAGGTGTTAACGAGGGTCGTTCATTTTATGTGCGTTTTATTGATACTTGAGATATAATCATTTGCTACCTGACGGGATTTAACGATTTTCTTATTGGTGTCTTATTGTCAATGAACGAGAGCACATGTAGAGTTGAAGATGTCGAGTTTTATGTTTAGCGACATTTTAGTGCTTTTAATAGCGTGAAGAATTTAAGATTTTTACCGATACGGATTTAATTTATTTGTGTAATGGGAAACTTTTATTTTGTTTATTTTGCTAAGAAAAAATGTACTCTCCATCTGAACAAAATTGTTAAATACAATTTATTTACACTTATCTTTAATTAGTTAAATCTAACATTTTGATGAATTGAATTGTTT